CTTCAACTTCATCCATCGCCACCACCACACACGTGCTGTACTACGAACCTCACTCGTCAACCACCGCCACCCAAGCCCACCACCGCCATCGACCCTTGATGTCTCGATTCTAGACTGGAAACATATACGTCTCGTCCGACCCCGTAGTACCGCTTACCGCCGGCTGCACCAATACGAGACTTGTCCCCGGCCGTTTATGGTCGGGTTAATCTTCCTTCTCTCACCACCGTTTGGACCGAGCTCTTCAAGACTCAAGCTGTTCGGCGGGCGCTTACTACAGGTGTGTTATGTTCGTGTGCTGCGCGGTTACACCTTGGGCTTCGAAGGGTACGGTACCGCTGTTTTGGAGTCGTGGCAACACATACTTACGGTCGACGATCATCCAGGGTCGGACTGCCGCTCGGAAAGCGACCGGACGCGTCATGTATTTCGAGACTGCAGGCGAATTCACTACAGTGAGTAGTAGGGGCCCTGCATCCTGCTATCTAGGGCTGTCGTGAGCTCATATCGAGTTGCGTTGAGTCGAGTTCGGGTGGGACTCGTGGAGCATCAACTCGACTCAAGTCGATACTTCGAGCGCGGTCGTGAGCTGGGTGCGTCATCGTTGTCAGATGTGGTGAGCTCGCTATCGGCAAACTCCGGTCGCCGGCGGGAGGGCCGCTTGCCGCAGACATAACGCCCCTTGAGTTCTGTCGAGCTCGTCATTGAAGTTGGGTCAAGCTGAGTCTTGGTTGAGTAACGCCGCCATCTCGCAATTCAGATCAACTCACAGCAGCTCTGCATCATGCTTCGTTCCCCGGTCTGTGCGAGCGAGCCCGAGCCCTGCCAGGCGTCTGGGTCACTTCTTTCCTCGGCCACTCATTCCTCACACGAACGTGCTTATGTGTGCAGCCTGTTGTATTGCGCAAAGATGCACACAACGCCGATCGATCCGCGTCAGCTACCTCCTTTGAAGGCGCCGCTCAGGACAAGCGTTCGTGACCGCTTTTACGATGTATGTGTGCTCGTCTGTCCCCTTATTCATCCAGACGCGCGTCTCTCGCTCACGGTAAGAAGTGTATAAGAACTGAAAGGTACAGTGTCCTGTGCGGGAACGATCTCGCTCATACCAGTACACCGTCGAATCGCATATCTCCCTCTCTCAATGCCAGCCACTTCCGCTCCAGCCAAAGTTCTCGTCTCCGGCATCAACGGATACGTCGGTGCCTGGGTCGCCGAGGCATATCTCGCCGAAGGTTTCACCGTCCGCGGAACTGTGCGCAGTATTGCGCGCGCAGGACAACATCTCCGCGAGACGTTCGCCAAGTACGGAGATAAGTTTGAGCTGGTGGAGGTAACGGATATAATCGCGCCTGGCGCTTTTGACGAGGCTGTCAAGGACATTGATGTAGTGGCGCATACGGTATGTGCATCATAACAGTACTCATGTTGATGAGAGGGCTGTTCACTGACGTGTTCGTTTGACAGGCTTCCCCGTTTCATCTACACGCTGAGGATCCGTCCGAGATCATCGACCCTGCTGTGAAGGGCACGCTGAGCATTTTGCACTCCATTCTCGAGCATGGGACCGACGTCAAGCGCCTCGTTCTCACCTCCTCCATCGTGTCCATCTGGTCATTGCACATCGATAAGCCGGCCATCTTCACCGAAAAGGACTGGAACGAGCAGGCTATCCAGATCGTGAATGAGAAGGGCAGGGATGCAGACGCTGCGAGCAAGTATGGTACGCCGTCTTGACTGCCCTGGTTGCGAATGTTCCTGTCGCTGATGATGTGTGCAGGGGCGAGCAAGACGCTGGCGGAGAAAGCAGCTTGGGCGTTCGTCGAGGAGCACAAGCCAGCATGGGACCTCGCCGTGATCAACCCGCCCTTGATCTGGGGCCCACCGATCCACGAGGTCCACGCCGCTGACACGCTGAACACCTCTCAGAAGGTGCTGTTTGACATCCTCACCGGCGCCTGGCCAGAGGCATACGACTCGACAGGCTACGCGGCCGTCGACGTTCGTGACATCGCTCTTGCGCATGTTCGTGCAGCGCAGCTCCCACAGGCCGGCGGCGAGCGGGTGCTCATCAGCTCGTTCAACGGGTATCCGCAGGACGTGCTTGACGTTGCCAACGCGATACAGCCGCGCATCTGGGATGCATTGCCTGCGGGTCCGAAGCCTGGATCCACGAAGGACAAGGACAAGCTCATAAACGTCGATATTGCGCAGTTTAGGCGCTTGTACGCGTTCGAACTGCGTTCGATCGAGGAGACGTTGCGAGACTCGTTAGAGGACTTTAAGAAACGTGGTTGGATTCAGTAGAAAGTCGCGGGGTCGGGTTGGCTGCATGGTGTAGAAATGTATAGCACATGATACTGGGGCAAGTTGCCATCATTCACAATGTTCGCACGATGCTCCGGGTTCTGCCGAGCCGCTCAAGCTCAAGACGCGTCAGTATCGTGCGCGTGCGCAAGCAGTCTGAGTCTTATCCTTCACTCATACCATCATCCATCGGCTGCGACTTCATGATCCTGCCAGTCCACTTCTACCTGGTATCACGACCGCACACTTTCGGCCAAATCGGACGCGATACCTGACATACAAAGGCGGCAGTCACCTTCGTTCGATTGCACTGCGCGCGGTAGCGGACAAAGTCTGTCGCACGAACTTGCTTATGTGTGCAGCCTGCTCGTACGGCGCAAAGATGCATGTATCGCGGATCGATTCGCGTCAGCTACCTCCTTTGGTACTGAAAAGGCGCCTCTCACGACGAGCGTTCGTGACCGCTTTGACATCGTCTGCGTGTCCGCCTGTCCCCGGACTGGTTGTGGCGCGCGTCTACCTTCTTGCATAGATGCATAAAGACTGCATGCTATGATATTCTCCTCGACAACGAGATTGCTCATACGACTCAGCCGTTCGACCTTCCGTCTTTCTCCCTGAATGCCAGCTATTTCTGCTCCTGCTAAAGTGCTCGTCTCCGGCGTCAACGGCTACGTCGGCGCCTGGGTCGCCGAGTCCTATCTCGCCGAGGGTTTCACCGTCCGCGGAACTGTGCGCAGTATCGCGCGCGCAGGACAACACCTCCGCGAGACGTTCGCCAAGTACGGGGATAAGTTCGAGCTGGTAGAGGTAACGGACATAACTGCGCGCGGCGCTTTTGATGAGGCTGTTAGAGGCATCGACGCGGTGGCGCATACTGTACGTGCATCACAATAGCACTCGTGATGAGAGGGTCGTTCACTGACGTGTTCGATTGACAGGCTTCGCCGTTTCATCTGCACGCCGAGGATCCGTCCGAGATCATCGACCCCGCCGTGAAGGGCACGCTCAGCATTTTGCACTCCATTCTCGAGCATGGGGCCGGCGTCAAGCGCCTCGTTCTCACCTCCTCCATCGTGTCCATCTGGTCGTTGCACATCGATAAGCTGACCGTCTTCACCGAGAAGGACTGGAACGAGCAAGCGATCCAGATCGTGAATGAGAAGGGCAGGGATGCAGATGCTGCGAGCAAGTATGGTACGTCGTCTTGAATACCCTAGTTTTATATGATTCCGTTGCCGATGCTGTGTACAGGCGCGAGCAAGACGTTGGCAGAGAAAGCAGCTTGGGCGTTCGTCAAGGAGCACAAGCCAGCATGGGACCTCGCCGTGATCAACCCGCCCTTCATCTGGGGGCCACCTATTCACGAGGTCCACAGCGCTGATAAGCTGAACACCTCTCAGAAGATGTTCTTCGACATCCTCATCGGCACCTGGCCAGAGGCGTACGACGCGACGGGATACACCGCCGTCGACGTCCGCGACATTGCACTCGCGCATGTTCGCGCAACGCAACTCCCACAGGCCGGCGGCGAGCGGGTGCTCATCAGCTCGTTCAACGGGTACCCGCAGGACGTGCTGGACGTTGCCAACGCGATACAGCCGCGCATTTGGGATGCATTGCCTGCGGGTGCGAAGCCTGGATCCACCAAGGACAAGGACAAGCTCATAAACGTCGATATTGCGCAGTTTAGGCGCTTGTACGCGTTCCAGCTGCGTTCGATCGAGGAGACGGTGCGAGACTCGTTGGAGGACTTCAAGAAGCGTGGTTGGATTCAGTAGAGAGTTGGGCGTCAAGCTTTCTGCATGGTGTAGAAATGTATATAGTGTATAGTGTTCCATTGGGGCGAGTGCCACAAGATGCCATCACAATGTTCGCACGATGCTCCGGGCTCTGCCGCTCCACTCAGAGCCGCTCAAGCCGCATCGTGCGCGTGCGCCAGCAGTCTGAGTCTTATCCTTCACTCATACCATCATTTATCGGATGTGATGTCGTCACCCTAATCCTCTTCTACCTACCATCACGATCACACACTTTTGGTCGAACCGGATGCGATACTTGACATACGAAGGCGGCAGCTATCTTCGTTCAATTACACTACGCACGGTAGCAGGCAAGGTCTCTGTAGCCCTTTCCGACCGAAACGAGCATAAAAGAGCTTACAAGGAAGGTTCCGGAGATCCAGCAGGCCTCTGACACCACGCAGAACTACTTACCACCCTGGCCGCGTCTGTACGAGACTCGCGTGATTCGCATCATATAACCGTGTCGACGAGTCGGCCGAACGCCATGCAAACGTGCTTCGAGAGGTATGATGAACGATGCTTTCAGGACCCGCGAAAGACAGTTGACACTTATCTCCAATCAAGATGCTCGCCCAGGGTACTCAATGCCAGTATAGACTTCTGTCAATCCTGTTCTATACTCGGCGGTCAGGAGGTACATGTAGAATCGGAACTTCAGCTGGTGCTAGTGTATAAAAATGATCTGTTGCCTGGTACTAGGGTCTTGAGGATGCGCGCCTGGCACCACAAGACTTGAAGAAAAAATACCTCTGAGTCCGAGACTTGCCGTCCGTGGACCACCATACAGCTGACAGTGATCTTCACACGAGGCGGAGCGCGCGACCCAAATCTGGAAGGTGAGGCCGGTGAGGTCAACCCAAAATTTGACGACGGTAGACCAACATGCCCGTAAGCCTATGCTCTCAGGGCCATCTTGATCGTCTGTAGTTCCACGAGTGCAACACTCATCGTGAACCGATGTATGTAGGCCTTTGAACGGCTTTTGCCTCACCATCGGCGTAAACACCGTCTGTAGCAAGAAAGCGGGCGAGATCGACAGTGAACGCGACGAAGAGAAAGAGCAGAGCAGAGCTCGTACAACACTCGAGCACTGCAGGATCTGACATGGTGGCTGAATAGTACAAGCACATACGGGAAACCCTGACGAAGACTCAAACCGTGCTCGCCATGTCCACTTATCTATAGCCTTTGATGTCCGTATATATCGTGCTTGCGCCTAGCCTCCGGCAACGCGCGTAGACGGCGTGGAAGCGTCATCAGAATGCGGGTTTACGTCGTGCTGGGGTTCAAGAGGAATTTGAGAGTTTGACGTAGACGAGATAGACGCGCCCTGCCAAAGCGACAAGTCAACATTCAACATTCAGAAGTGTGAAGCCGAAACGTACCGCAGTATCTCCCAGAAGGTTATCGGCTGTGTGTCCCTGTGCGATGCTGTCTCCCAATCGAGCTCGTATCCCAGCCTGGCCAGCAACATGAGGGTCTCAGCGCACTCGTACAGTGGAGGGCCCGCGCTCACGCTGGAGTCTTCTTCAGGAAGCTGGGGACGCGAGGGCCAATGTGAAAGCTGGGAACCGCGTTGAGCAAGATAGGCTGAAGTCGGGGTCAAAGCGCACACCCGTATTCTATGCAGAAGCGACGGCTCTTCCCGGCCATAAGGGTGGTGTCGTCGCAGGTGCGCCTCCCGGTACGGAGGAAGCCGTTCAACCGCTCGCCCGTCGTGATATGCAGGGGGAGGGTCAGTGTTGCGGGGGAGGTCGCCCATGATAGTCGCAGAGCGAGCGTGGCGGGGAAAGAACCAACCCAGATTATAAGAGAGCAAGCAGCAAGGCGGTCCATCTGCGCCTCAGCCCTCAGAACCGCGTGATCTGTGGTATTCGGATCGTCGCCCTGACAATGAAGACCAGGTCTCCGTGATACGCCACTCGATCCCGAGCCTGAGACGGGCGAAATGAAAGAACGTTGTTTGCGACCGAACCATGGACGAGAAAGACGTCCGGGGACTCTTGCCGATGATCTTCAGCGCTTGACGGTATTTGCGGCGCGTATCGGTTCCTTCAACCTTGCCAGGAGACCGTTTCCCCAGACGCGCAAGATGCTTGATAGCCCGTTCTTCCGCATCTTCCTCTGCCTATGACTTGCCCTCCGGCGGGACTCATGTTGAGATATCGAGTAGTTCAGTCAGGTACCATTGTAATCGCAGGTTTCCTCATCCAATGCAAGTGCATGTAGCATCCTCGGATCTCCTTCGAAGGCGCTCTTTGGAGGTAACACTCTTGTGAAGCAGCTGTTGACCCTGTCGGCCAAGTCGGTATATGAAGGCATGTCCCTTCCTGGACAGTTGGTTCATCAAGTCGGTATAGGTGCCCCCAAAACATGAGCCTCACTTTATGCGGCAACTATATACCGATCATGGATGGTGCAGAATGCCGAACTTAATCCCGCCTGCCAGAGCACGTACTTGCGCCAACCTTAATCTTGAACGGACAGCGCGGGCTTTATGGCCCGTGCGCGAGATTTCAAATGTCATGAACCGAAGACGTCGGACCGCACGGATACGTGATAAGAGCATGCCCGTGGAGCTGGACCAGATGAACTGTCCAAGGACGAACCGCCAGGCGCCCATCGTGGTCGCGGACAACGCGACGTGAGACCGGTAAAATTACTGGACCCACCAAGTCCGCGGACCACGTGTGACCGTAACGTTTCTTCCCACGGGATGAGTCGCGTGTGGACGCGCGCTCGGGGCGACCCCCTCGCCGACGCGAAAGCGCGTCGCAGGTTGCCTTCACCCACCATCTTCCTTGCCCCGGATCGCCTATCCTTCGCAATAAGACCCGCCTTTCTACGTGTTTCTTCCCGCGTGAGCGTGACATCAAGCAATCAACAAACCAAAACACGACAACATCAAAATATATTGACTATGGACAAGGACAAGAACAAGAGCAACATGCAATACGCAGCACACATCAAGGTTTAAGAAATCAAGATACAGCAAGACAACAATCAAGCAAACGGTAGCGGATAGCGTAGAGTGAGATAGCGTGTGACAAGAACAAGGTCCATGAGTAAAATGCCGGGGCGGGTGAGCGCTTAATCAAAATCGCCCTCTCCTTCGAAGTCGCGTTTGCGCTTCGCTGGACGCGACGCAGACGGCGCATGCTTTCTGACATGCGTGGGCGAAATTAGCACGCCGTGAGATGTGTCCGAGGCTTCGCTCGGAGCAGCCTGAGCGCCAGAAGACCGAAGTGGGATAAGCGCGTTCTATCGTCGGGTCAACACCAACATCGCACGCTTCAAGCTCTCAGAACACAAGCTCAAACTTGCAACACGCACCGAATCCTCAACATTGTTGACGGAGGCACCTCCCGTGGCACTATCTCCAGCGATAGCTTGTATCCCAGCCTTTCCAGTACCATGAGCACCTCTGCGCTCTCGTAGTACGGAGGCTCACTAGTCACATTATCGTCGTTCGTTGTGAAGAGGGCGGGGTAGTCGAAGTCGCGACCGCAGGGCGAGAACTGGGGAGTGTCGTTAGGTTGGGGTATGAGACGTTGGTGAGTGTCACACACCAATAGCCTCTGGAAGAGGGAAGGCCGATATCGCTCATAAGGGTGGTAGCGTAGAAGATAACCTTCACGATATGCGGGCAGTCGCTCTACAGCGCGTCCATCATGATACGCAGGTGGTGGAATGTCATCGTAGTCGGGTGGGTTGTACAGAGAGCTCATGGTCGCGCGAAATAGGTGCCTTCCGAGTGGTGGCAAGAGGCTAAGAGGCCAGTCGAATTCATACTCCGCACACCTCTCGACCCCCACTACGACTCGAAAGCTGTCACTTTACCCTCAACATCTCAACCTCGCAGACCCTGACACCCATTCCCTTTTTGGCAAGACATATGCCGCGCGGGAGACATCGCACGCCTGGCGCCGACCTGAAGAATGCAGACTATACGCGAATGACGGCCCGTCGCCTTCGACAGCTCTCGGATCCGCACACACGCTTCCGTCCACGCGTCGTATACCGACACTCTCTGTTCTTCTATGCTCGGGCGCGAGCCTCACCCTGCTGCCTCGAGTATTGCGTCAATGGCAAGTGCTCTCTCGCAAGCGAGGCCTTCATGGTATACACAAGGGTTGTAGGGCACCCGCAGAGCCACGCAGCGAGTTACATCGGTGTCGTACGAAGGGAATCAAGATGATGTCTCTGCTGACATGCATCAGCAGTCAAGAATACGTCGTGCAAACAACTGGTTTCCTCTTCGCTCTTCACCAGACGTTCCGTCAACGTCGAGGACGATGTGCATGCTTCAGTCACAGGCGGGCAACAAGTGCAAGATAGTCCGCAGCTTACCATGACGGACGAACACTCTGGTTCGCAATATTCGCCGGGTGAGTTCGGCAACGTCCAGCTCAACGCGAGCATGACCAACCTCTCATGCGTCATTCAGGTCAATAGCGACAGCCGCGGACGCCTGCCCATACGCTATCCTGAAAACGAGCCGAAAGATATCCCAGTGTCATCTCTCTGACGGACCGAACTGCTGCGCAATGCAATACATCGTCTATGCACCAGCGTTCCACTGGCGTTTGTACATCAATGCATATCGCCACACACGGCTGAAAGCCTAGGAAACAATACACCGTTTGAGACCTATCTGGCCACGGAATAGGTTGGTCTCTTTAAGATGCAATGTCAACGAGGACCATACAGGAGGGACTCGGGGAGAAGACTTGCACGTACGAGCTCGTCGAAGTCGGATGATCCGCAGTGGTCGTCCCAGACCTTTGGTAGCAGGTACTGCTTGAACAGCTCTCTGCGAGGACAAAGTGGGTGCAAAGATTATTAACGCCGACTTCTGGCTTTATTCAAGTGAGAACACGCACCTGATGCACTCCTCGCTCGCCGCTACGAGCGCCAAAATCGTCGGCCGTCGTCGCCAGACTCCTGAGTACTGTCATCCATTGTCCGCATGCATATCATGGGTTCAGACGTCTCCGGAGACCGACAGCGAGACATCCTCCACGCCGCCGGCGACGGATGCACACCGAGAGCAGCTCCCAACGCCTGCTTTCCTCTCTTGCGGTAGCAATTCTTGCAATCCTTTGTCCGTCGCCCATGTCCTCTTCCTCCTGCTTCCCATCCTCATCCTTGATACCGACGCGAGGAGATGCATGCCGCGGATGGATAGGGGCGCGTGTCGTTTGACGAAGCAGAGGCTAAGACAAGGGGCCAAGAATGTGGTTTAAGCCGATGATGTGTGTAAGGTAATGCAAGTCATGATATAACTGCCATGGGTGTTTGCAGCTAACTCAAGAACACGCAGTGTTCTTGACGGTCGTCGTCGAGCGGAGGCAGCAGCGCGTCTTGCTGACCCACGAATCCGCCGCTGCTTCCGCTCGCGTGCGGTTAGCGGCCATCTCTCACTCCGCCCAGATCCTCGATCGCGGAAGTACCCGGACAATCCGGCTGCTTCTCAACCACCAACACCCACGCCGCTCTTGACACCATGTACACCCCCCTTCTACCCTACGATTCCCGCTATGTTAAAACCAACTCGATGACATTTTGTGGACGAGCACGTAAGTGCGTGTAGAGCCGGACTCCAGCGATCAGCGCTGGAGATATACTATATTCAAGCGCCTACCTCTCAGCGGTGCAAGCAACATTTAGAACTCCAAGCGACTGCCCCAGGACCAACTGGGGGTTCTCTTGTTCGACGCTTGCCAGTTAGGCCGGACGCGCGAGAGAGATACCTCACTCTCATCCGACCTCCGAGCCTCAGGCCGCAAGCCAATGTCAACAGCGCAAGCTTTACACTGCGCACACGTGTCAGATTTAACTGCACTCTTTTACCCTCGTCATGTTCTAAGGACTTGTCGGCACTCTCAATGCTCGCACAGGCCCGCCACTACCGGCGGCCCGTTTGCGCGGCGAAACTCGATGTCGTCGCCAATGCACCTGAACACGCCGTCACTCATTTAAGCAACGTGTGAGTGGATTGCGGGTGGCAACGCTTCCGAGCACACATGCTAGTGATGGCCCATGTACCCTCGTGACGCGTTCTCGAAGTATACGAAGCCCCGAAGCATGAGCTCTTTGAGCCGCACACCCCACGCCCGCTTCGCTGCCCTAAATAGTAGCGATGCACGCTTAAGTGACATGTCTGGATATGCATATGTTGCTGAACATTTCCAGGAGCAAGATATCTAGGAAATTGATGCGAACATATCTGCAACCGACTCTATGAGGTAGCGTTCTCCAATTGCACAACTTCTTACAATGACGCTCACTCGTTTATGACCAGGATCCGAGAATTAGACGGCTTCCGATCTGTCCTTCCGAGCGCTGTTCACCCCTTTCATCACCATGCCATAGCTCTTACGCCCCTCTCTCCAACAACTACTGTGCCAAGCCTTTACGAGGCGGTCACAGTGGGACGAACGACAGCCGAAGAATGACCCCAACATCGAGGCGGGCCGGGCTTCACAGCAGCTGGTAGTCGACAGCCGCGAACGAGTGCGTATAAAAGGCCCCCACACAAGATAGACAATATCAGGTCTCAAATCCTCTCCTTGAAGTCTTGCAACATGCTGGCTCGCTTCGGTGCTCTCATTCTCCTCGCTGGTATTGCGTCTGCGGCTATCGTTGACAAGCGTGCCGCGCCAGGTGTGTGACGTTTCCACCGCGAGATCTGTCTGTATGACTGATGCTTTGCAGTGGATCAGCTTGTCGGCTACGCAACTCAGAACGGCGGAACTACAGGTGGCGCTGGTGGCGCGACGACCACGTACGTAGCTCATTTTATCGTTATACAGACCATGACTGATATCACTTCTTGCAGTGTGACCTCTCTCGCGGACCTACGGGCGGCAGTCCTCAGTGCAGACCCTAAGATTGTCAAGATCTCCGGCATCATTACTGGAGGTCAGTGGCTTGGGCCTGCGCTCATAGTATCTCGGTCTAACCAGTCTGATCGCAGATGGCGAGTCCGTCGACGTGGGAAACCAGTGAGTGCGCGTCTCGGTCACTCACTTGCACCACTCATTGTACAGCACTACGATCGTTGGTGTTGGGAGCAACTCCGGTCTGACCGGTGGCGGGTTCCGGGTCAAGGTATGTATGCCAGTTCCTTCCTGGAGCTTTCGCTGACAGGGGGCATACTCTGCAGAAGGGCACGAACGTCATCTTCCGCAACCTTCAGCTTAGCAAGTCCCCTCACCCCACGGACTTGATCGAGCTGCAGACCTCGACGAACATCTGGGTTGACGTGAGTGCTTTACTTTACCTGTGCTCGTAACAAGAGAGTGTGTCCTTATCACTTTTACAGCACAATACGTTCACTTCTGATCTCGACCACGACAAGGACTACTACGATGGTATGCTTGACATGAACCACGGAACTGAGTGCGTCACTAGTTACTGCCGCGATGAATGCGTCTTATTGAGCACTTTGTTAGTTTCGTCACAGTGTCGTGGAATGTCTTCCAGCAGCACTACAAGTGCTCGCTTGTCGGTGGCTCGGACAACACCGGTGACGAAGACTCCGGCCACCTTCGCGTCACTTACCACCACAACCACTTCTACGAGTGAGTGGAAGCTCTACATGTTTGCTACAATCGCTGATCTCATATAGAATCAACTCGCGCACTCCTTCCATTCGCTTCGGTACCGCGTGTGTTTCCGTGGTCAGTAGAACTGTCCCTTCAGGTCACTCATCCCTCTTCGCAGGCACATCTACAACAACTACTACGACAACGTTTTGGACTCTGCTGTCGACTCGCGCGATGGCGCGCAAGTTCTCGTCGAGGACAACGTCTTCTTGAACACTGTGAACCCGATCGAGACCACGCTCAGGGGTGGCTAGTACGTCTACGTCAGTCTCCACCCTTTTGGTTTGATACTCAATGCATGATCAGCGCTGTTCAACGCGACAACATCTTCACAAACTCGACGCTCGACCCCGTGCGTATCCCTCACCTATTCAAACACTATCATGATCATTGATGCATTGCACAGGACATGGACGTCGGTACCTTGACGTCGGAGTCCTACTCGTACACCTTGGACTCGGCTTCCAGCGTTGCGTCCATCGTCGCTGCCAGCGCTGGTGCAGGAAAGGTCACGGGGCTTTGAGGTGCTTCTTCTTGTCATCGCTTCGCTTTCGGCAAGAGCCACCAAAACCATGTAACTGTACCCGTATTAGTTCGCGCAATTATGATCGGTACCCCAGATTCTCAACAGCCACTTCTTGCGCCATTAGTACGAGATTATCTGCCGACTTTTCTCTCGGGCTTCTCATGTAGACCTGACTGCACCAGACATTTCTCCGAGATGAAAGCCATTCTTCTATTGCCATGAGGGAGGATATCCATTTTCCTTGGCTGTGCGAGCCAGAATGAGGCGAGAGCGCGTGCGTCTTTGACAGCGTGGAGACTAAAAGAGCCCGGGGGAGGGGGAGAGAATGGGCACATTCAAGCAGCAGATATACATCAAGACGGTGCTATGAGATGATCCTACGCACATCGCAAGTATGAGTATTGGCGCTGGGTTTTTGTTGCTGGTTAACTGCAAACGACGTCGAGGGCCGCGGCCAGCCAAGCGCGCCACCGATCTGCGTGTGAATATCAGCTCACGCCGGGCGATTTCGGCCGATCAAAGACCCGGACTTCCTTCAGCACCACCACCACCAACTTGTAGCCACTACTGCCACTCACTATGGGCGCATGCATCCACTGATATTGACGTGAAGATATCTTGAAGGACCAGCTTGCGCTGCTGCCTACGTTAAACCCGTCCACTGTCCGCACGCAGACGCGCAATCACTTCTTCATGGTCCGAGTCTTCGTTGGAGGAACTGGCTTCTTGCACACATGCCCGATGTGCAGGAGGGACTACTCTATACAGATGGGCCTCCACCTCCGGCGGCCCGCACCTGCGGCAAAACCAGTAATCGTCGTGAATACACCTGAGTATGCCTGTGCATATCCAGGTGACGTGAGTGCATGTTGCGAATCCGTGCCCTCTGTGTTCCTGTATACGGCTTACACTAACGCGTTCTCGTGACACCCTCAGGGATAGCGGAGGCCGACGCGCCTCTGGCTATCCATGGCGAGGGCCCTGGCCTTCAAGGCCTTCACTTTCAGTGTTCACTCCTGACGCACAGCAATGCGTCCGGCCCTTCGCATGTCACAGGAGTGGCTGCAACATCGGAATATATTATGCAGCTGACATATGATTAGCGGCAATGGCACTGTGCGAGAGCGAGCTCTCAGGCTGTAGAGCTTCTTTGACGCTCGACTTCGCCGTCGCTTCTGAGGATCCGAGAATTACACGGCTTCCGAATAGCTCTGCTGGACCTATGCACCCGCTGATCACTATACGACAGCTCATCTGCGCCTTACTGCCAATAGACGTTCCGTTCAACCTACGCAAACATGGGTCAGTGTGTGCTGACTTGAAGCCGAAGAAGGCCCTCAGGACACTGGCGGCCCGGGACTCAGGACACTGGTAAGTGGCAATTACAACCGAGCAGCTATAAAAGGTTCACGACGTGGTTGCATATGGTCCAGGTTTCCAATCCTCTGTCGACCTGATACATGTTCGCTCGCTTCGGTGCTCTGCTTGTCCTTGTCGGTTTTGTATCCGCTGCCACGGTCGAGAAGCGGGCAGCTCCAGGTAGATGATCTCTTGGCCATGTCCTTGAAGTATCCCTCTGATGATTGTTAGTTGACCAGCTAGTCGGGTACGCTACCCTCAATGGTGGCACGACTGGCGGCACCGGTGGAGCGACGACGACGTACGTGCGCCTCATGTAATAGCCGAAGATCCATCTCACTTCGTGACCACAGTGTGACTACGCTCGCCGACCTGCGTGCAGCGGTGACCGGCGCAACTCCCAAGATTGTCAAGATATCCGGTATCATTACTGGTGGTCAGTAAACCATTATTTACTCATCTCATTGAGATGTTCTGACGTAGAGCCAGACGGCGAGGTCGTTGACATCGGGAATCAGTAAGGACACGCTAGCCATGCTTCATCCCTTGACAGTGTGTCTCAACACTACATAGCACTACTGTTGTCGGGATCGGAAGTAACTCTGGCCTGACTGGTGGTGGATTCCGCGTGAAGGTGCGTCCTCATTGCGCCGTGGTGCTCGGCCCGGCTGATGCTTGAACTAGAAAGCAACGAATGTTATCCTCCGCAACCTGCAGCTCAGCAAGTCTCCCCATCCGACCGACTTGATCGAGATCCAAACTTCCACGAACGTTTGGGTGGACGTGAGTACTCCTAGACAACACCTTCATGCGTCTTCTCACAGACATCCAAGCACAACACATTCACTTCGGACCTCGACCACGGCAAGGACTTCTACGACGGTCAACTGGACATGAATCACGGCACCGAGTTCGTTGATGCCAAGAGTTCCCTCGATGAAGATAGCTGATACTTCAACAGTTTCGTGACAGTCTCCTGGAACGTCTTCCAGCAGCACTTCAAGTGCTCGCTCGTTGGGGGCTCTGATAACACCGGCAGCCAGGACTCGGGTCATCTCCGCGTCACATACCATCATAACCACTTCTTTGAGTGAGCCTGAACATATTCTTGAGATACTGCTCTAGTGACTCATGGGCCGTAGGATCAATTCGCGTACACCTTCGCTTCGCTTTGGAACTGCGTGAGTCCGTATATGTCAAAGCTCTTTGTAGATACTGACAGCGTGCACAGGCACATCTTCAACAACTACTTCGATAACGTTCTCGACTCCGCGGTTGACTCGCGCGATGGGGCACAAGTTCTCGTCGAGGACAACGTATTCTTGAACACCGACAATCCGATCGAGACCACGCTGAATGGTGGCTTGTATGTATCCTGATATGTATGCGCCTGCTTTCAGAAAGAGCTCACAGATGAACAGTGCCGTGCAACGCGACAACATATTCACGAACTCGACGCTTGACCCCGTACGCTCCCGTCCTATCATGACCAACTCGTGTTGCTGATCCTCTCACGCAGAACATGGCTGTTGGCACGTTGACCTCCGAGTCGTACTCATTCACCCTGGACCCGGCTTCCAGCGTTGCTTCGATCGTCACGGCCAGTGCTGGCGCCGGGATAGTTACAGGGCTTTAGGTTGTGCATGATCTTGCTGAGGTCGCCAAAGTCGTGTCGGGTTGCCTCTACGATGGTTACTATACTCTGACGGCTCCGGCTGTGGTGGCTGCAGGAAAAAGTGATGGCTGTATCCATATACATATGAGAGTTCATTGCGACAAATATTCCTATGTGAGATCCATGTCAGTCCTGAGCACCTGAGCGTCCGTTTACTATGCAAAGTCCTGGGTAAATAACACAATATGACAACACAGGCCTCGACTCCGTGTGAGTATATATAGAACACTCGTCGTCACGTACTTGGCTCTTTCAGGAGTTGCGAGCCATCGGTCCGCGCGCAGTCGCCTCGTACATCCTGCATGCCGCATCCGCAGCGTTTCGGATGGGCGCTGCGCAAGGCGATGGCGAGCGGTGCAGCCGGAGTGCGAAGCTCGGTGGTCTGGACTCTCGACAAAGTAGAGCGCGCCGATCAACAGTCGCCTAGGAAGCTATTGCCTGGAAAGCTTTCTCCTATATCACTCCATAGAGTGTAGTTAGGGTTGGAGTATGCTTCGTTGTATCTGAATGCACAGTCAGCAGAGGCAATAAGCAGCACTGGATGTCTGGAGGCGCACGTGGAGATGTAGTCCGCGGTCGGGAAGTCCTCTGGATCACATCCTACGTTGATGTTGTCGGGATCCTGATATACGCGGACGTAGTCGACGCTCATGGTAGCGGGGAAGGTAAGGTCGTCGTAGTCGATGGTCACGAATGAGGTACTCAGACCTTGATTGTACCATGAGTAAAGAGAAGAAGAATAGGGTCAAAGAGCGCACCCAAGTTGAAGATAATATACATGGGCTCCTGAGGGATGGGGCGAGCGGCGATCTCTGACTTGTTGTCGGCTACGAGGCCTCCACTCAGTAAAGTCCACGCGAGCTTCCCATTGTTGATCCAAGAGGTGTACTAAAAGCACGTTTAGTGTGAGTACTAGCGCATCTAGTTCAAACACGTACAGCGTTGTCAAACCCAGGCGAGTACTCCATAGCATAGACGGCGAAGCATGCGTCGGTAAGCTCCCAGCACGAAGAGTTCGTCATAGATAAGGCAGAGATTGCCTGCTGGTAAGCACCGCCTGAACGAGGTAGCATTAAGCACAGCACCGTTGCAGGTTTGCAGGGATGGACTGACCAGCATATGGATTCAACGCGGTGACGGAGGCGTCAGGTATAACCAAGTTGCCGTCCGTCGGCCACGTATACGCCCAATTGAAAGGAGCATATTGACCTATTGCCGAGATGTCAAGATGAAGCCTGAGTGCCGCCACGGGGTACGTACCTGACTGCGAGACGTTTCCTCCAGCACTCGTCCCCAGCGCTTCAAAGATATCAATCTCAGGCGCAGCCCGACCGACTGTAGACGTTGAGTGCATCTCTCACGGCTGAGAGATGAAAAACGAACCGTATGTACCATCCGAGTGCATCGGACCGGGATGACTGGATCCCGAACAAGTACAACGGGAGAGGCGCTGCCCAGGAAGATATGATAAGGCATTATCGTTGTACTCATCACCGGCGCCGTCCTCAAAGTCTGCTGAGGGCTCGCCATTGATCGATTGATTTGCAATCGTACCGTAGTCGCACGAGTCGTAGCTGTAGGGCCACTAGTGACTTCGTTAGCGCGCATGGGAACACGTCTAATTGAAATGACATACGAGTCCGTCTGTCGTTGCACCGTATCCCACACGACCAAGGTTGCCCATGGTCCTATAATGATCATGAGAAGACTTCGAGATGGGAGGGTAAAGCGCCTCACCAAACCGCTGGCCACAAGCCAGATACTGTAGGGCTTCCCGGCAGAGTTACTGCAACCTCGACGATGCCTCCCGTAAAGCAGAAGTTATTCCAAGAGGTAAGCATCCCCCCAGTGTAGTCCAGGTCGTGTTCAGCGTTCGCGGATAGAGTGATCTGGAGAGCGCCGTTCTTGGTTGTGACTGCGGAGGGATCATACCATCTGAAGGCGAAGAGTGCTCAGCGCTAGATGGGTATGAACCGGGCGCAGATAACGTACTCTAGATCATCTGTCTGCCAATCTGTCCACAATCCAGTATGAGCTCGGCGCCAGGAGGGCCAGTGAGAGGAACGTACAGTGTAGGTCGACCGCCTCAAAATAGGGATCGTCTCCGGCGTAGAACGTTCGCCCTTGATGACGGATCAAGTCAGCTTGACCATCAGCGCCAGAAGATCGTGAGCGCTCACCGTCCGTCTCGAACTCATCGCTGAAGACGAGCTTGAAAGTCTTGCTCGAATCGTTGTAACCCGTGCGAGTGTAGGCATCAGCTGGTGTGTCTGGGTCAATCAGACCGCGAAGGCTGGTGATATTGGTGACGTTCGAGGTTGACGTCGTCGAGGCGAGGGTCGAAGATGATTGGCGATCCAGGATGTAAGTGGTGATCGGGTATCCAGCACTATTAGTCATCAGTCACTGACCCACGATCTCACGCATTGTACGCACAATAGTCCCAAGATGCACGCCAAAAGTAAGCTCAGGCATCCTAGGTTCACAAGACCTCTTGCTGAAAAGATGGTGCCGCCGTGATCAATACTCGAGTCTCGTCTGGGGTCTGGGTCGTGCAAGTCATCGTCAAGCTCGCGCTCAGATGGTCCTGGGTAGACGCTGGCATCGAGCAGCCCATACTAGAAGGATTGAGCACGTGGGTCGGGGTTTAACTTGGATGTCTGAGAGCTCACCTTCTGCGCCATGGAACCTTGTCGTGGACTTGTAATTCTCCCGTCCCATCCCTGAATGCCTTGTCAACAACCTTAAGTCACGACGCGAAAGGCAAGTGGCGTACCATATTGACAGTGCTGGACATTGACGCCGGTCTACTGTGGCTGAAGTAATTGGCGTAAGGGGGCCGAAGGCTAGACTCGCTGCCGGAGGGCGAAGAGGGCGCGAATACTGGCGTGAAGGGTGATGCGAGCGAGCCAGAGTTGGATCTGGAGGGCGAAGGGCCGACCAGAGGGTCGCGGTCGGAAAGGTAGGTCATAGGGCGCGCGAAGAGATATAAACAAAGCTCGATGGGTTCAACGAAGCAGTGCAGACGCGCAACGAGGCAGAAAGAATGTCCAAACTTGACATACACCTATATTTATGGCAGAGGCGCTCGGTCTGTGACGACTGCGCGTGTGGCTAAGTAAAGAGGAGGTGTGAGTGTAAAGCGCAGTCGGTGCAAAGCCGCGGGTGCCTCCCGGCGCTCAATTTGCTCGAGCAGAGGTTGGCTTTCGGGACAAACGGACGCATATTTAGCGCAGCCTCGCCGATGTCGCGGGTAATCTGGACGTGCACCTTCGCGGGAGTCGTGATCTGTGCGGCTAGGCCACGGACGCGGGGCGCCCAATCAGGACTGCTCAAGTATAAGCCAACTTGCGAGAATGAACCATATCTTGAGTTGCTTTATCCGGGCTTTGTAGAGGATCGTGAACGAAGCCCGTGTCCCATCAGCCAAGGTTCAAAAGCAGCTTCGCAGAAACATCATGCTTCCATTTCGGGATTATGAATTGGCGCCACCTCGCGTCCTGTAGTCCTCGCGCAATGCATACACGCGGACTGTAGGCTTACTGATTGGAACTTCAGTAGACTTGTCGGCAGGCTGCGGGAGACGCTGCGATAGGCCGCCACCCCACTTGGAGGGAGCAAGTCCGAACCGTCGTCGAACACCTTCGCGGAACCGTGGATGTCGTAATAGAATAGCATCGCAATAGTGCATGGCTACATCACCAAGTCGCCCAGACGTGTACTGCAATTCAAAAGACGCAAGACCGGCCGTCATCATGGGAGAAGAAGAGAAGGCGCGCTTCGGCTCATTTGGGCGGGGCCGTCGAGCTCAACTCGAACTCCCACCTTCGCACCCGCACTACTTTGCTGCTGCCCTCCCCGTACACCTCCTAGACCGTCGGGGCCAGGTCTTGTACCATGTTTTGGAGGCACGTTCTCTCGAGTCCGTCGTATAGATCAAGCTCATGATTGAGCGCTTGAAGGTTCGGTTTCGATAACGGCTCGTCGTTAGACAGCCTACTCGACAAGGATGAAGTCTCTCTCGAGGCCATCCTAGACGAAGACGACCTACTACAAGAGTGTAAATCGCAGAACACGCGCTTGATCGATTATTTCCAGAAGGTCGACGTCTTGCAGCGCTTGTTTGGATACGTCTCCGGACAGATAGAGGCGGAGGACACTGGGAAATTCAAGTGCGTCGTGACCGATTAGTTGGGGCACTTTCTGATACTGTACAGATATCCTTATGTTTCTACGGAGGTTCTATGCAGCGAGATCTGGTCGATTGTCGAGACGTGCTTGAATCACTCGGACCAACTCCTGGTCACTTTCTGGGAGACTGTTCTGGACCGGGATGCTGAGGACATGAAGACGCGGATGGTCATGGCGTCGCATTTTGTGAAGATTAATGCTGTGTTCCTGAGCAAGAAGCCGGCTGAGGTGCGCCACACGAATGTACGCTGATTAACGCGCGCATATTGACCATTCATCAGATGCTGGCCTTCATACGGGCGCAACCCGACGTAGTCGAACGTCTGCTACGTCACATCGAGACACCCGCAATTGGAGACCTCCTGGTCCGCATTATCCAGCTCGATGAGCAACCAGGCGGTGCTGGCGTTCTTGAAGTGCGTTGCTGGTTGATCGTGTGACTTGAATGTTCCCTCACCAGCAGCGTTAGTGGCTATCTGAAGAGCGTCTCGTTGCACGTCTCGTCGACCGACTATCTCCGGCCCACTCACCCGACATGCATACGGTCATTGCCGAGCTCATCAAGAGTATTGTCTCTATGGCGGCCCCGTCTCCCACAGCCGGCATGGAGAACTCCCAAATCGGGCCCGCTTCTAATCGCTTCGCGCGGGAACTGGCAAGGAGAGATATCGTCCAAACTTTGGTGGACTACATGCTCACAGACTTTGGCCCCGAGCCCGAAGCTACGCGTCCAGATGAAGCAGCTGAAGACCAGGATAGCGACACACAGCCCGCGAAACCCACGACATTCCCGAACTTTGAGTCTTCCACCTCCTCAGTCCTGCACTCCATATGTATCATCATCGAGCTCATTCGCCAGAACAACTCGGACTTCTTCGAGCCATATCTATTCCACACGTTGCGGAACCGCCTCATTCAAGTCCAGCAGCAACTTACGACACGCGACGCAGAAGAAAGCCGGATTATTCTGGAAGGGGCAATGCAGGAGATGGTTGACCGAATGGGGGTGGTGCATCTAGGCCCTATCCTCGATATTCTGTCGGACAAGCTCGAGCAGTTGCAAGCGTACCTCCTCAAGCCGAGATCGCTGGTGTGTTTCTACCCCGCTTTCCGGCCGGTCTCAATAACGGCATTCAGGAAGGACCTCTGTCTACCACAGTTGGCAGCATCACTCCGTTGACGTTCGAACGTTACCGGATATGCGAGTTGTTTGCTGAACTGTTGCACTGCTCCAACATGGCGCTGCTCAACCGACCGTCAGAGTTCGACTATCTCTATGACGCGGAAGGTCGCCTACAGGGCGGCTTGTCTGCACTCGAAGAGCTTGCCCGCGTTCTGTCAATGGGACAGGGCGACGATAACGCCGAGGATGAAGGCATGGACGACATCGAGCCTGCCATGGAGCTACCTGTGCATGGTAGTGCATCCCAAGACAACGCCTCGCTACTAGACTCGGATGAGGATATGAGCGACGGAGAAGGGCCATCGGACGACGAGGCTATGGAAGACATCTCGGTCTCTGACTCTAACCGCCCGATGCGCGATGGCGCGCCCTCGCCTTCGCCTTCATCCTCGCCAACAAGGACAACATCATCACCACTCGACCTATCAGTCTCGCCTACTACCGTCCCCTCCATGCCATCACCAGTCTATGGGTCTTCTCCTGGCGGCTCCAGTCCCGACGTCAGCGCCGTACCTCGACGGAAATCATCAAACGCCAGCCTGGGTTCAAACAGCTCAACGCGTGGCCGGCGCTCAACCGGGTCAAAACGAAGTTCGCGGATGTTTCAGATGCCTAATCTTCCGCCAGCTGCGTTGCCTTCCGGAGAGCGCTTGAAGCGCAAGCTACTCGACAACAATGTCCTATCGACTGTCTTGGTTAGTCGACACATACATACTGATTGTACATATCTGACCTCGCGCACAGGATCTATTCTTTGATTTCCCATGGAATAACTTCCTGCATAGCGTCACGTACGACCTAATTCACCAAATATTGACTGGCCGAGTCGACACTGGCGCTAACCGCGAGTTGGCGATCTCGTTGTTCCGCGACGCGAAGCTCATGCACCGGATCGTTGAGGGTCAGAGGAGAAATGACGCCGAATGGTGCGTGATATCCACTTCCCTCCGCGTATACATGGTCCTGATTTGTGCCTTGACGCAGTGCAAAACCTAAAAGCGTGCGCTTGGGGTACATGGGCCATCTAACGCTCATATCCGAGGACGTTCTCCTTGCACTCGATCATTTCCCTTCAGATCTGCGATCCATCCTGGCATCTCATGCGCCACAGCCAGAATGGGACGAGTACGTCAACGGTCGATACAACGAGACGAAGGAACGTGATACCAGCTTGCTCGGTGGTGGGAAGCCTGTTGCCGGACACACACCTACGGACTCGTGGAAGGTCGATGAGACCGAGATCCCTCCAGCGTCAACAAATGCCAACACGGAGGATACTCCCATGCATGGAGAGTTTAAGCGCGCCACTGGTAATTCGACTCGCAGGGAGGGCAGCGCAGACTTTGGACCTGCTCCCATCAACGACGAGGACGAGCCGGAAGAGCAGTCCAATCATCCTTCAGTGAGCTCTCTTAAATAGCTCTCCCATGCCCAAGCTGACATTCTTCGATTAGTTCGCACGGTACCTGGCACAGGAGATGCATTCTCCGAATGCGTTCGGCGCTGACTTGGGCGACTCATCTGATGCCTCGGACGACGAGGATGACGGCGGCTGGCTTACGAACTCTCAATTCAACCTTGAACGAGAACCTCCGACTTCAACACGCGAGCGTAGGCCTCTCAGTGCAACAGGGTTCGACGTACGTATCCCTTTACATGTCTGATCGCATATAGATGTTGACTATGGGCCGCAGGATGCCTTTGCTCCCGAAACGTTAGCTGTGGCATCAAGTCCTTTCGCAGATCCTTTCGCGTCTGAAGACGACCCGGTGCGCCCGACATAACACGTATTCCAAACTGAGCTCATCGTGCTATCATAGGACGATGGCTTTGGTTCATTCACGGAATCGTCTACCAGTGCTGACCCCTTCACGTTCTCTTCAAGTTTCTCGGATGGCATGGATGAGAGCTTTGGCGAAGGTGACTTCGGCGACTTTCACAGCGCCGACGGCGAGACCACACCTACGGCGGGAAGCTGGACCTTTACGAGCGGCAGTAGTGAAGATGGCGAGGGCGAGAAGGAAGGGAAAGACGAGGAGCCAACCACGGACAAACACAACACGACAGAGTAACCTGTACACGACTATAGATTATTGTATATACGTCATGTTTTGCTAGATTGTTGTTTGCCATTTCATCAACCGTAGCGTTGGATATGAAGCACGAAACAGTGACATGAACACTAGTTCGCTCATGCTCCCGAGCTGAAAGCATATCCACCCTCTCGCGATTTGACACCGTGTTGCAACTCTGCCAGGATCTGGCCGTTGGTTGCGTCGACAAGACCACAGGTGATATCGTCGCCAGGCGTGAAGGGGCCCACACCCGAAGGAGTTCCTGTCAGGACGAGATCACCCTCCTGCATCGGAAGTCAGTTCACTGGTTGTTGATGAGAGTGACAAGGCGAACAGACCTCAAGCGTCATGATACTGGAGATGTGCTCAATCAGTCGCGGAATGGGGAAGATCATTTCGTTCGTTGCGCCGCGTTGCTTGAACTGTCCGTTGATCTTAATCCATAGGTGTAGGTTCTGAGGGTCCGGGACTTTCTCCTTCGGAATGAAGTCACTAGTCAAAGGTTTAGTGAGCGCTACTATATACATGAGGTATGACATTAGCATACCCGATCGGGGTGAACGTGTCAAAGCCCTTAGCCGCCGACCAGGGCAGGCCTTTGCTCTTGACATCGTTCTGCATGTTTCGGGCCGTTACATCATTCGCAAGCGCTATTAGAAGGTTGCATTAGTTTCACATCATAGTACTACGTAGAACCGCTTACTGTAGCCAGCGATGTAGTCCATGGCGTTAGCTTGAGAAATATCGCGTCCTCGCTTTCCAATGACAAGTCCGAGCTCAACTATATGCGCTCAGATTGCCGCGACCAAGTGATATCCAAGCCCAACGCCGTCTTACCCTCATGGTGCGCAATCACACCCTTCGGGATCTCGATGTAGCCGTTGTTCGGGACATAGCTGGACGTAGGCTTTAAGAAGAAGAAGGGCTCCTTGGGAACCTTGTTGTTCAGTTCGCTAACGTGGTCCGCGTAGTTGCGGCCAATAGCAACAATCTGCAAGAGGTTGTAAGATGCGTATCAAAGGTTCGGAGGCTGTCTAGAGGTACCTTCTTTCCCTGACGAACGAACTGTGCAGCGATGGACATGTCAGGCGAGTCAAGAGATTGCGGCTGAGCCATAGCAGGTATTGAGTTGGTGGTTCATAGATATAACATAGTGTCCCTACTCTTATACGGCAGCTGAAGATAATGAGTGACACCGAGATCCCTTCCAACAGAGTCGCCGGCGAGGTGGTGGAGGTTAGAAGCAGACGCGGGTGTTCACGCGACGCGTCCGAGGCGCGTCGAATGCATTCAACGCGAGCCTCGTGCGAAGACCAAACTCCGGCGGCCATCCGAGCGTCCGAGCTCCTTGCCTTCTACCACCACCACCGTGCTATCCTTAGCCGCCTAGCTCTATCGCTTCTATTATGTCCGATCCTACTGCTGCGGCTGATAAGAAGAAGCGCAAACGCCGCTCGCGAACCGAAAAATCTAGAGACCCCTCGCCTATCTCAGCACCACAGAAGAGCCAGAGAAACGACAAACCTACCAGCTCGACTTCGCAATCTCGGCGCAGACAAGCCCGTGCCGAGGCTCGAGCTACATCGGATGCTGAGGCTGGACCGGGTCCCTCTACGAGCGCAAACCGCGAAAAGGCAGCTGCCATAGCCGACGCCGAGAAAACTACTTTTGGCGACGATTTCGTTCCATTTGGGCTGGACGAAGAAGAGGAAGTGGTTGATGCTGGACGGGGGAAGGACGGTATCGATGCACGTGATACGCGAAGAGACGACAGGGATAGGGATGGAGGACGAAGAGATGGTAACAGAGGGAGGGGCAGGGATCGAGACCGAGGACGGGAGGATGCAGGAAAGATGCGGAAAGCCTCGGACTTCGACCCCGACGATGGCTATCAGAGCAAGAAACAAAGGCAGGACGCTGCGTCGCGCAAGGCGCCGTGGACTGACATGATGGACACTGACGGGTGTACGAACGTCGCAGAACTGTACGTGTTCACTTTCTTAACATGCCATGACTATTGCTTATATGTGACCCAGATTGCATCGCGAAGTAGAGGCGTTCGTGGAATATATATCACCACTACCAGAAGAGGACGAAGTCCGAGCTTTGACTGTGGAGATGATCCAGCGTGCTGTGGTTAAGAACTTCCACGACGCGCAAGTCCTACCCTTTGGAAGCTACGAGACGAAGCTTTACCTCCCACTTGGGTACGCGTTGCTTTGATTAGTTATATCTCTGAAAACTTAATCTGCTTGCAGAGATATAGACCTGGTCGTCGTGTCAAGATCTATGGAGTACTCTGACAAGGTTACTGTGCTGCACGCGCTGGCCAATACGCTTCGTCGTGCGGGCATTACAGACAAAGTTTCTATCATCGCGAAGGCCAAAGTACCTATCATCAAGTTCGTGACCACGCACGGCCGCTTCGCCGTGGATATCTCGATCAACCAGGCGAATGGCCTTGCGGCTGGGAAGATGGTCCGCGGTTTCCTCACGGCTTTTCCCGCCTTGCGCGCTCTGGTGCTGGTCACGAAAGCGTTTTTGGCTCAACGGAGTATGAACGAGGTCTTCTCGGGAGGACTTGGCAGCTACGCTATCGTCTGTCTGGCGGTCAGCTTCCTGCAGATGCACCCCAAGATTCGCCGCGGAGAGATCGACCCGACAAAGAACCTCGGAGTACTTGTCATGGAGTTCTTCGAGCTGTACGGCTGCTACTTCAACTACCACGAGACTGGCATATCCTTACGCGGTGGCGGGACGTATTTTAACAAGCAAGCTCGCGGATGGCAACAAAACCAGTCCTTCTTGCTATCGATCGAAGATCCTGGCGACATCTGTGAGTATATTGTCACTGCTACCTACCTGCTTCTGACTTCTACGCGTGCAGCCAACGACATCTCAAAGGGGACATTTGGCATCATGCGTGTGCGACAGACCTTTGCCGGCGCACACTCTATCCTCACCAGCCGTGCATATATGCTCGCGCAAATCCTGGGTCAACGACGGGAAGGGCGCGCGGTTAGCCTCAGAGGTGGGCGTCACGACCCAGAGGAGCTGAGCATCCTGTCCCATGTCCTCGGTGTTACCCAAGAGGTATGTTGCGCTCTTCCGACTTAACCGCGCTTTGCTGACAAATCGACCTACAGACGATCAATCGGCGACGGCTCGCGATGGACATTTACAATAAGCGCATTCTACACCGTCTCTTGAATGTGCAGCCGCGAGCGATCATTATTGAGGACTCCCCTGAGCCTGAACCTGTGGTTCAGCACTTTCCGAGAACGAACGGTGCCGCTCATGCTTCCACAAGCGTAAAAGCGGCTTGGAAGGCTGCTGGGGAGTCCGATGAAGAGCACGACGTTTCACGAGTATCGACGTCGAAGAGCGTTGCTCAAGAGGTCATTGATGTGAGCTCTGACTCAGAAGAGGAAAGCCGCTATGAAATACCGGGACCACCGAGCAAGCGCCTCCGGCTTGGAACGTCAGCTGACGCCCATACCGTCTTCACGGCTGACGAGGATGAGGATGGCCAGGTCAGCAGCGGTTCGGACGACGAAGAGTTCAAACAGCTGGTTCAGGAGGAGGGCGAATATACTGATGCGGAGACGAGTGAGAGCGATGGAGAGGCCAATGTGAAGAGGCGGAACAAGCGCGCTTATTGGGCTGCCAAAGCGGCTACAGGGGTCGCATCCCTTGATAGCGACTGATTTCTTGATATAGCTTCTGTCTTGTACCTTGATGTTGTTTCTTTCGCTGTACTTCATTCTGTACTTTAACCTGCCGCCCTAAGACGCGTCCTCATCAGTGTGATCATTACTCCGACTGTTTACGCATGTGACCGCGAACTTAGGGGCGTCGGACGTCGCGCGCCGCGCGCCTCGCGCCTGCAGGTTGCTACTTGCCTCTACCTGTGACAGCCCATTCGCGTTCAGGCCTCGTGCTCCTTTTTGACAGGATCTGTCGTGTCAAATCATACTCTCGGCGCTCGTCATGTCAAGCTCAGATTCAGGCCAAGAAGCTGGGGGTAGTCGCAAACCTGCCGCGAAGAAGCGTAGGACGAATCTTGCCTGCGATATGTGCAAGAAACGCAAGAGTGCGTTCACTATGCTTTCTACATGTTCATATTCTGACCCTCTATAGTCCGTTGTATGTCCGTCCCACCCACTCGGAGAGTATACGGGCCTGAACAGAGCCTGTAGGCGATGGAAAGCACGACAGTGGCAAGTGCACGAACTGCAGAGAATATGGCTGGACGTGCACGTATGACAACGCCGTGAAAGTGAGTTTTATCACTAATTCATTGGTTTTTTCTCGTCTTACAGATGAGTAGAAATACCCACCAGGCTACGTTATGGCACTGCAGACCAAGGTCGAGAAGCTGGAAGCCTTACTACGCGAACTTCACCCTGACGAGGATTTCACGGCACGAGTGGGCGTCACACTCACTCGCACGAATTGGATGCAGAAGGGCGTACTCGGCGAACCTGTTCCTAAGAAGCCTAGTCCTTTTGTCGGCGGGTCGAGCAAAGTAACCGTGGTATCTCCGCCCCCTGCTGTTGCTCAGTCTCCAGGGGCTCCTGTCGCTTCTACTTCTTCCCCGCACCCTCTATTATCTGGCAACAGTGTCGCCTCGTCGACTGACTTTGTCAACGATGAGGAAGACATCGTAGTCAAACTCAACAAGCTTTCAGAGAAGCTGAAGCAGACGCACATCGGCAACTTCTACGGCAGGTCATCCAACAAGGCTCTCATCATGAACGCTCTCGCGTTAGACAAGGAACTCGGCTCCGTCCCTAACATCCAAGATGCACCAGGAGAGCTAATCGAAATCCTCAGACCCAAATTCTGGGAGGAGCAACCGGTAAGTTTCAGTCGTAGGATTCTGCATTGCCGGACTTGATCTCACGAGACTTCCTAGTGGGAGTATAGACTCAAAGAGGCGACGGTACGGCCGTACAAATTTCCCGATCCGGACTTACTCGAGCATTTGGTCGATCTGTACTTCGTCAATATCCACATATCGCTACCCATCCTGCACCAACCTACGTTCAGACTGAACTTGAAGAAACAACTGCATTTGAGCTCTCGAGAGTTCGGCGCCGTAGTCCTGCTCGTTTGTGCCAACGCGGCTCGCTATAGCGATGACCCACGTGTGCTTCTCCCGGGGAGTGACAATCAGCACTCTGCTGGCTATGAGTGGTTCGTGCAAGTGCAGTTTGCCTTCACCATCACTCCGATGGCGGACGTCGAACTTCTGCAAACCTTTGCTGTGAGCACAGATAGATTACGATCATGAAAATCATGTCTGACGTAGTTTCGTTTCAGCTCGGTGTGCCGTATCTGATGGGAAAGTCCGAGATCACCGCTTGGAATATCTGCGGTGCGGCCATTCGTCTGGCGCAGAACCTCGGCATCCATCGTAAGCCTGCGTACGACTCAGAGCCGACACTTAAGGATGAGCTCTTCAAGCGATCTTTCTGGTAAGGTATCAGGTTGACCAGAAAGTCCGTCGATGCTCATCATGCCTCCACAGGACCCTGATCTTCTTCGATCGCTATATGAGCTCCAGCCTCGGGAGGGCGTGCGCAATCGTAGACGATGAGTGGGTATTCTTCGATGTATCTGTCTGTATATGTGTATTGACGCCCAGATCTAGCCTTGACCTCGATTTCCCCGTTGATTGCGATGATGAATACTGGACGCCCACCAATGGATCGCCGCCGTTTAAGCAGCCAGACGGCCTACCATCCCATACATCAATGTTCATCTGGAGTCTGAAGCTGTCCCAAATCTTGGGCTCTGCTCTGCGTACGCTGGTGAGAAGCATCATCGTTCTCAGGGAGACTGGATCTCACGACCGTTACAGCACGCCAGCAACAAGACAAAGGCACACCATGGCTTCGCAGGACCGGAGTGGGAGCACCGTGCCATTGCCTTCTACGACTCGGCGCTCAATCAGTGGCTGGAATCCCTCCCTGAGTACCGTACGATTATCTTCTTCCTACATCATGGCTGCAGTGATAACGTCGGGTACAGTACGTTGGGACACGAGTCGCACAGTCGACGATCCCGTGCTCTATCAGCAGGCGGCGGCCATAACAGCGCGCTTCTACGAGATGCAAATCATTATCCACCGCCCGTTCATCGCGTCCGAGCAAGAGAGCGAACTCCCATCCCTGGCAGTGTGTTCAAACGCCGCTCGTTCATGCGCACGCGTGCTACAGACACTCAATCAGCACTTCCCTGGACGTGCGCCACAGCTGTACACCGTGAGCTACCAGCGCTGAACCGTGCGAGCTTTCGAAGCTCATCAGCGCCTTTAGTGCGCGTTCACATCCGGAGCGGTGCTCCTGTTCAACATTGGCAGTGCCAGACGCATACGGGCGCCGATAAATCCGGAAGACTTCGTAGCCGTGCAGACTTGTATGGGCTATCTGAAAAGCCTAGAAGACCGATATCAGTCTGCAGGTCGGGTGTGGTGCGTATTATTTGAGGCAGGTCACGTCGGTGCACTCACGAATATACACTAGGGATGCCCTCAACATGATAGTCTCTTTGGGTCGCGCGCCTCTGACAGAACAGTACCTGCGCGGTCAAAAACGCCAAAGAGACATGGAACAAGAAATCTCGGGCCAAGATCCCACACCCTCCACCAATCATGACTTGTGGACCCAGATGACTGGTTCGGTCTCGACAGCTGCCACACATGCTGGTAACTGGGAAGAAAATGGGTTATTGTCGCTGGCAGACGCGGCCACGATAGGGTCTTTCGCGCAGGACACGGATATGTCATGGCTCAGTCAGCTAAATCAATCCGGTCTATCCGAGGGATTCGATCTATCTGGCTTGCTGGGATCTACTCCCATGCAGGGTAGACAGCAGGGAGACAACGTCGAAAGCTCTTGGCCTTTCGGCCTAGAGAGCGACCTGCTGGGAGGCGGCATGAATCCATCACATATAGTAGGCGACCCGTTTGCTGAGGCTGATATATCCATGTTTGCACCCGCTTTCACGTCCGCCCATGACCACGCCGGTGATGATACGTGAGTAATGGCGTTTGGATGTTGCGGTGTGAAGAACACTGACTGCGGTCGCGATCCCATCCAGGCCCGGTGCCTCACGATGTTGAATTTGCTTTACCTCAACTTGCTGCTCGCATTTGAGGAAAGCTCGATTGATGACATCGTTCCGTGTACCGTGTACATATACGTACTGTGTCATGAAGCGTGTATAATTGGAAGCTTGCGCGATACTACAGACGACGTTGAAGTGGGCATACGCGTCCATACTCATATATACAACCCCATCATTACACGAGGTATTTTAAGACTCGATGCGCGCGACAGTTCGCGCTTGTCATGGCTTCTTCACGTTAACTATACGCCGTGGACGCGTGGCGCGCATAGATCATAGAAAGACATGTGACCGCGAATCATGCCGGTCTGGCGGCCGAATGTTCGCCAGGCTGACGCGCCTCTGTGGTCTACCACCACGACCATAGCGTCCACGTCCGACTTCACGGCTATAGAAAACATTTGCAACCCGTACTCTACGTTGCGTCGGGTAATATACCATTTTGCGACCGGCTGGAAGCCTTGGACATCCTATGTCAAGCTCAGATGAGGGACAGGAGGCCTCAGGCAGCCGGCAGCCCACGGCCAAGAAGCGCCGCACGAATCTAGCTTGCGACATGTGTAAGAGACGCAAGAGTGAGTGGTGATAGAATCTGAGTGGAACATGGTACTTATACCGTCTGTAGTTCGCTGTACGCTTTTCAACTTGCCGAACATCTAGTTACCCTGAGCGAACCTTGGTACAGGTGACGGGAAAGTCGCGGGTGGCAAATGTTCGAATTGCAATGATTTTGAGTGGAATTGCACGTATGAGAACGCGACGAAGGTGTGTCCTGTGCCACTGTCCTCGGTACAAGATATCTTATATCTATACAGAAGTTTCCGACGGGTTACGTTCAAGCGCTTCAGGCGAAAGTTGCAAAGCTAGAAGCACTACTTCGCGAGCTACACCCTGATACGGACTTCACGCCTCAAGTAGGGATCACCCTCACGCGCACCAACTGGATGCGTAAAGGTGTTCTCGGCGATGATAATCGTGATAGTCAGGGTCCCCTCAAGGCTGGATCGGACAAACTTGCTACCCTTGCGTCGCCCGTCACTTCGCACTCTCATCATACGGTTTCCCATTCTCCCGCAGGCGCTCCTATTCAGGAACATCCCCTTCACAGTGGAGGTTCGACGAAGCCGACATCTGACCCAAAAGATGAGGAGCAGGATGTCGTTATTAAGCTCAACAAACTATCCTTACTTTCGTCGAAGCTGAAGCAGACCCATGTCGGAAACTACCACGGCAGATCATCGAACAGGGCGCTCATGATGAATACATTTGCCTTATTCAAGGAACTTGATCCCACTCCAAGCGTCGACGATGCACCTCGAGAGCTCGACTTGATGCGGTCTGAGTTTTGGGAACACCAGCCAGTATGTCGTGAGCGACTTGCTCGCCGTGCTGAGGCTCATTGGCTTCTGTAGTGGGAAATCCGATCTACTATGGCGACCATGCGAGAATATCGGTATCCTGAGCCGAGCTTACTAGAACAGTTGGTCAGCCTATACTTCAGCAGAATAAACTTCGGGGTCCCGATCCTGCACGAGCCGCTATTCAGAATGAACCTAAGAAATCAGCTTCATCGGAGGTCTTGGGAGTTTGGTGCCGTTGTGTTACTCGTCTGCGCTAACGGCGCTCGTTATTCCGACGACCCCCGCGTCTTCGTTGTCGGGAGCAACAGCGAACACTCTGCGGGTTACGAGTGGTTCTCGCAAGTGACATTCGCGCCCACAATTGCACTATCCTCGGATGCAAGCCTCTTACAAGCTATGGCCGTGAGTAAATATATATTCGGATAGTCAATGCATACGCTCAATGATCTTCACAATAGTTGGGTGTCATATATCTCTCAGGGAAGTCTGAAGTCGCGGCTTGGAATCTCTGCGGTACTGGTATACGACTTGCGCAAAATCTCGGCGTACATCGTAAGCCAGCATACGGTGCAGGACCATCTATCAACGACGAACTATTCAAGCGCCCTTTCTGGTACGTCCGTTTCACCTCATCGTCGAAATATCTTTCTGATTCCTGCAATAGGACTCTCATAGTGTTCGATCGATGGTTGAGTGCCAGCCTTGGAAGGGCGTGTGCAATAGTTGATGATGAGTCCGTTTACATTCACGTCGGATCCAATAGCTTGGCCCGCTGACAGTAACTTCAGCTTGGACCTTGACTACCCGACCGACTGTGACGATGAATACTGGGCGCCAACCGATGGATCACCAGCCTTCAGACAGCCGGAAGGCCAGCCCTCGCGCGTCTCGGCTTTCATCTGTGTCCTGCAGTTGTCGCAGATATTGGCATCCGCGTTACGCACACTCGTGAGTGCGCTGGCAAACAAAATCTGGACTCCCCTTACCGTTGGTGTAGCATGCTAGCGACAAGACCAAAGCCCGCCATGGCTTTACCGGACCCGATTGGGAGCAGCGTGCCATCGCATTCTACGACTCGTCGCTCAATCAATGGCTCGCTTCTTTACCAACACATCGTGCGGACATCAATACCACAATCTATTGCATCTAGAGCTGATGTCTGTCAAACATAGTACGCTGGGACCCGCAGGAAGAGGATCCGGCGCATCTCACGAGGTGCGCTTCCCTGATGGCACGGTACTATGACACGCAAATCATCATACATCGACCGTCCATCTCGTCTCAACAATCGACTGCACTGCCCTCTTTGACCATATGCGCAAATGCTGCTCGCTCGTGTCTCCATATCATCGGCACACTCCGACGACGGACCCCAGGCCGTGCACCACATTTGTATTCAGTGCGCTCTCACGAGTTCTACCGGCTTGTCATCAAGTGCTCATCTCATACAGTGCGCCTTCACATGTGGTGCCGTTCTACTCTACAACATTGGTAATTCGAGACGTCTGAAAGTACCAGAGAATCCGGAGGACCTTCGTTGCGTGCATATATGCATGGACTACTTGAAGAGTCTAGAACACCGATGGCAGTCAACTGGGCGTTCTTGGTGCGCAATACGCCGCTGGCTCACGTATGCGATACTTACTATACGACACAGGGATTCTCTCAACATCATCTTGTCTTTAGGCCGACTATCTTCTTCGAACGACCAACAATCGCGTGGCCAGAAACGAGCACGGGATGCTGCGGCTGACTCGGATACGAGGCGCAGTACAGGCATTAAGCGATATGCCGGCGAGACTGCCGGCTCACGAACGGATACGTCTGGCGCACACCTACCAAATACGATGCAGGGCGTCCTTCTTAGCAATTGGGCTGAGGCCAGCCCATTCCCTTCAGTGTTCGCCGCACATGAAGCTCAAGAAGGGTCGTCACCATGGTCGGCCCAATGGGATCAGACTCGCACGGACTTCTCGGGGACATTCGATACTTCCTCTGCGTCTGGAGTTGGCACAGTGCAGGACGCCCATCTTGGAGGCGCTGGCATTGACCCTTGGCCATTCGCATTGGATGGCGCCTTCATGGCAGCGAATATGAACTCAGCCCCTTCACAGACGCTCGCAAGCGATCCATTCTCGGGCGTCGCAAGCAGCACTGGTGATCAAGTATTCGCGGCTCTCGGTGCAGGAATGTGGACCGCCGGGCAGGATGGCGCTGAATTTGAGTGAGTCCTAATCTTTCGGGCTAGCGCATTATTGACTAACGAGTCCCCAGTCCTTTGGCTTCTTGGCAACATCCGCTACAGGGCTTCGATGGTACATCGGACATGTATAGAGATCAGACCCAGAACCGTTACTCGTAGTTGGTGGACTTGTTTCCCATGCAGTGTACAGTACATGTGATACGTAATCGGACCAGTAGACTATCGCAAGCCCGGCCCTTTATATTCACTCCGGCAGACAGACTGCGATGATTGAGAACTTGAGACTGTCCTGCGCCTTCTCCAAAAACGCGCCTACGCCCAGCTGGACTGCACGCTCACTCAGCGCGTCCTCGCCCTCCGCCAATGCGCCGCGGTCGACTGGCCCCGGTGCATACCCGCAGAGCTCCCACAGATGTCCATCATCGCCTTTCGCGAACGCAAGGAAGTGTCCGTCCGTACCGAGATCACCCAGCTCGGGAGCTTCGCTCTGGCCCAGATCGGCGGCAGCGGCGTGCGCTTCTTCCAGCTCTATGGAGTCTTCGAGTATTTTAGCGCGTGGCTCTCGTTCGAGCGGGACCATAGCCTCGTAGAGACGCGCGAGCAATGATCCGGGCTCGATGTGCTTGCGCGCTGGACCATTCAATACCGAGTGGATAACGGCCATCGTCCCACACGCCTCGTGTATGTTCTGCTTGATCCATAACACGGGTTTGTCACCCGTCTCATTATACGCGGGGGTCGTGGCATTCTCTTCCCCGCGCGCAGCGCGGTATGACGCGCCGGGACAGTTGATGATGACTGCATGCACGGGGCGCGGAACGAGGGCGAGGAGATCGGGTTCTGTGAGGGAGTAGACGTCGTGGAATGTCACAGCTGAAGACACGCCCAACGCTTTGGCGAGGTAGGCGAAGACGAACGGATCGCTGTCGATGGGGACGACGAGCTTATGGCCGTCGCGTTTGTCAATGGTCGAAGTTGGTGCTGCCATGAATGAACCGTGCAGATACAAGACAAGATCGAGGCTGATCGAGGTTGGATGTAAGTGGTGAATGCAGGGAAGCACCCGGTAGCTGCTTTAAGGTTATAGCTGTATTAGACGCTTGCGTCAGCTGTGTAGATGACTCGTCTCAGAAGCTCGCGCTTCTCCGTCTCAGGTGGCAGCCTGAGGAAGTACGCAATGTCGATCGGTACGCACAAAGGTGTGTAGGCTGTACTGACAGACGGGATCAAGAGGCGAAGATGGATCATATATCGACGCCGACGACGCGGAGATGGTCAAGCCGGTCAGAACGCATCTTGTAGACTGTAGACACGCGTCCCGAGCACATCCTTCTTGTCCGGTACATGTGTCTTGACGCCTTGGTGGTACGTTCTCTGGTCTCGTTGCTGTGCATGGAGAATCTGAAATTGACTGAACTGGAAGAATGGCCGAGAACAAGAGCGTAGACAGACGGTCCGCATGGGTCCGCGATCAATGAGAACGTTCCGACGGTCGTGACGGCGGGCGTGCGAAGACTAATCGGGCGTGGGCCTGACCTGGGCAACATCAAGTTGACGGAGAGCGGACACCACTCATTTGCTTCAATTGCTGCTGTCCTCCGACCGTCATTGCCGTGCCAGCCCTGGCGTAATATCTCCTGACAGGCCAGGACCTTTGCCGGTCTCCCTGCCGCCCTTTCACTCTTTCAACCCACGCCAAATCTGCCATGTCAGACCATGAATCTTCGTTGCTCTATGTGAATTTCAAAGCTGACTGTGCACAGGACCTCGACGAATCAACCCCAGCAGCTCGCGCTCAAGGACCGGATTGCCGCGCTCCAGAACAAGCCGGATGGCTCGAACGCGCACCCGAGCGCGGCGCCTGCCCGCTCCAACACGACGTCCATCTCTGGACAGTCGACGACGCCGCCTCGGGGCACGCTACGGGACAAGATCAACAAGTTTGAGCGTAAAGGTGGCGTGCCTATACCCCGGGGCAGCTTTGGGATGAACGTGCCGCCTGAGCAGCCAGTTGGTGCTAGCAAGAGCAGGGAGCTCTATGGCAACCGCATCCCGAAGCCTGCGCCCAAACCGGGTGCTGCGCCCCTTCAGAACTCTTTGCGCTCTGTGACGGCACCTTCTGCCTTTCCGCGTACAGGTGTGGTCGATGCTGATGGCGTGCCATCGTCGGCTAGCTCTCCGGACATCGCACCGCTTTCCCCAGATGTCACTGGCGACTCCGCACCCCCGATGGGTCCGGCGAGGACTCGGCGCCGGTTAAGTGTCTCTGAGATGGTTGGCGCGTTCGAAGAACTTGATGCGCTTAAAGACGCCTCGACCAAGTCTTCGCGTCGTTCTTCGCAGATCCTTTCTTCGCCTCCCAGCGCCTTGCCTTCGTCTTTGCCAGTATCACCAGACGCAGAGACATCCGGGCTGCCCACTCCGCCTCAATCTGCCGCTGCCGAAACTGCACCAACGACGCCTACGCCACCGGCAGAAACCGCCGAAACACCGACGCTAAAGCTGGATAAACTCGAGCCGCCACCGATGAGGCGAGGGATGTCGAGCGGGTCTGCGCTGTCAAATGGACCCTCTACGCCTGGCTCCGATCTGCAGACCGCCGAAATTCTTACGGGTGTCAAGACGGTCGTCTCACCTACGGAGGCCAAGCCCGTGGAGATTCCGGTACCTGCAGCGAAGGTTGTTTCGCCCACAGCGTCCAGAGTGACATCTCCGTCTTCTGCAACCAAGCCCATACCGCCGCCCATTGAGGTGGTACCTACGGTCACTGCCGAGCCTTCATTGACACCCAAGCCGGTGAAGAGCAAGTCCTACAAAGTCGTTGTGCACCGCAAGACGCCGGAGACGTCAACTTCGTCGCGTAACAGCATCGACGCGGCTGCGGAGCCTCGCCAATCACTGTCAAGTAGCGGCGATTCGCATGGCCACGCGCCTCACTTGCGCTCGAAGCGGCAATTCAAGCACCTTCAGCAGCAGCCCGAGCCTCCGAGTCCTGCCCAGAACGACCTCTCGGACCTGCTTCAAGATGCATCGTGGTTGGAAGCGACGCTCGGCAACAGCAGCTTCGACATCCCGTCTGTCTCATTTGACAGTGCCACACCGGACCTCAATCTCTCGCTTTCGCCATCCACGCCTACCGTTCCTACCCAACGCAGTCAGAGCATGCTCATACCCAACTCGCCACCTCGCTCTGTCAGCCAGACTTCGCTCGGTCGCCCCGTGAGCGCTGTGGAGGGTGGTCGTACGAGCTCCAGCACGCCGTCTCTCAACATACACGGCCCATCGGATAATGCGCCTGGTAGCATGTCGCCCAAGAGCACGCGGAGCAATGTGAGCGCTCGCCGCTTCTTCAGCATGCGCAAGCCCCGCGCCAGCATGAGCTCCGAACTCAGCTCGGATGACTCTGCGCCGCTTGCGACACCGCCGAGCCCGCCCGATATGTACGCTCGTGCGGATGCGTCAAGTCTGCGATCAGGATTCAGTGTCAGGAGTGGTGCGAGCAGCATGAGGTTGAGCCCCGGTCGGGGGCTGATGGATCGCATGCTGGGAAGGTCGGGCAAGTCGAAGAGCATGTATGACGATGGTACACCCAGTCAGTCAACGTATTACTTCGCCTCATTGTACATTTTCACTAACACGCCCCTCAGCGCCTATCCCAGAGCAGCCCTACCAATTACCCACACTACCATCGCCAGTACGCGAGAACCACCTCGACATCTCTATGTCGACCGCCGACCAGTCAAGCTTTGACTTCGACGCGTTCCCTACCGTACCGCTTCACAACAAATACGCGACGGAGCCCTCAAGGCGGTGAACGCATCTCAGCTCTTTCACATGGAAGGATCATTATCCCTTGGATCTATCTTGGGCTGCCATTTGTCTGGCATTCACGCATATCTACCTCATGCTTCATTATATCCCTTCTCACCTCTACTCTGTCTCACTTTTACCTCCGTGTCATCACCATACCTACCTTCGAGAAGTCGGTCTATACCGACTTTCCACTTCTCTCACTTCTTACCTCGTGCTCCTTGATCTGCTCGCTCTGCCTGTCCCAGTCCAACTACACTACGACTCCCCGGCGGCGCGTACCGTCGCTCGTTCATTCCTACCTACTCATGTGCTCCTGCCTGCTGGCCCATCTTATCGGTCTTGTTCGTTTGCGGTAGTTTGTCCTTTCGGGCGACCTCGGCTTCGGCATCGCTATAATGAATCGAATACCACTGCCCTACCAAATCAACCCTATTAGGTCGCTATTGTGAAAATCAAACTCAGCAAGAACATACGTCCTCTCAGTCTTGTCGTGTGCACCCATAAGTAGATTGGTTGGCCCGTGTCATGATCGAGGACACATCAGGCTCCGGCCGAGCGGCCCGAAGACGTGCGAAGGCAAGGATTTCGAGACGCGACGCGGTTCGCCGCTTCGACGCGCTGTCCGCTGGCATGAGCTCTCCGCCACCACCACCTCCGTCACCGACGCCCTCCAGCTCCACGGCACCCACACCAGTCGCTGCGCAGGATGTATCCAAACTCTCGGTAACATCCAAACCGAAATCCGGCTTCCGCGCCGCCCTCGAGTTCACGGGAATTCCGCCGTCACTCTTCGAGAAGAAACCCAAACTACCTTCACGGAATTGGCTTATATTCCTTTCGGTCGTCACTTCGCTCGGAGGATACTACGTGTACGACAGGAGAGAGTCGAAGCGGATACGGAATCTCTATGTCGAGCGCGTGAAGCCGTTCGCGGAGGAGAAGACTGGCAAGTTTGACTTGCCGCGGAAGGTCACGGTTTATGGCGCCAAGTGGCCTGGAGATGAGGATTGGGATAGAAGTACGAGGTACTTTAGGAAATATCTCAAGGTATGATTCATTTTTATTGCATCTACACGTCAGTCTATAGTACTAATGAGCTGTGGCGCCGGTATAGCCCGTCTTCGTGGCTGCTGCCGTAGACTACCAGATCATCGGCGGCAAGAAGCACGGGGACATTGCGACGCGCGTTGCGAACGACGTCAAAGATGAGCGAAGGTTGGCAGCAGGGCTTGACGAGCCATGGCAGCCACCTATGCCAAACCCTCTCCAACTCTCGCCTGAAGACGAGCGCCGGAGGAAACTCGAGGGCGGAACAGTCATCATCGGCAGGCATACGTTGAAGGAGTACATGTCCGGCTTGATACGTGGTTGGACGAGCTCTCTCGAGCGCGTTGATCCCGAAGACGAGCTGTCGCGCGTGTTGGCGGCGGACGGTCGGTTCGACGAGCCAGAACCGGAAGAAACGCCTGCCAATGTCGGCGACTTGGGCGATGACGAGCCAATACCGACACCTTCGCGTCTTGCAACTGGTCGGCCATACTCTCCTTTCGACTCCTTGAAGAAGTCTGTATCACAGCCTCCTCGACCGAAAGAGCCGGCTGGGCCCGAACCCGGTGCGAACGTGCCGCCACCCGACCGCATACCGCCGCAACCGCCTCTTCTCTTCGTCCCCTTCACCAACCTTGTCGGGCTTAAGCTCATACCGCTTATGATTTGGGACTTCTTCAATGAGCGAAAGAAGGTCCAGGCTGGCGCTGAGGCTGCGTACAGTCTAATCGTGAACCAGACGCGTCCCTTCGTCCCCCCGACTTTACCGCCTTTCGCCGAGGAATCGACCGAGAAGCCTGCCTTTGTGGATGAAGGTGACCTCGCCTTCGACCGCACCAGCGAGTCATACTACAAGTCCTCGACCGCAAAGCTTCCCGACGAGTTCGAGAAGGCTCGCGAGGAGTACTACAAGTCTGCAGTGGAGAAGCTCAAGACGGCGCGCGCACTTGCACGTCGTGAGCGGGAGCCGACGGACGATGAGCTCAAGACTCCGCCGCCGACTGAGGTCGAGCTGCATGCGGAGAGGTTGAAGAAGGAGATGCGTTGGCGTGGAGAGGAGAAGGGATGGGAGATCATCAAGCCCGATGCTCCCGCAGCGTGGGATGAGCGGTTGCAGGGAGCATTGAGGGTGTTTGTGCCGGCACCGCCGTTGTCCGAGGAGACGCCCAGCACATCTGAGGCGGG